GAAGTGTTCAAAAGGGTCGGGGCATGAAGGGAAATTATTGTTGGTATCAACTGGAATATGGTTTATGTTATCTTTGATATGAGGATGGATTGAAGAAGATAAGTGTGGTCTTGAAAGCACTTGAATTGTCAAATCTGGTCAAGATTGATTTTGGTTGAATAAAATCAGATTGGTGTTTGTTCAACTCCAAACTTGTCATGAGTCAACCTTTATTTTGAAAAACCTCTTCTTCTTCTTCTTTTATTAACTATTTTCTTTTAAGGAGATCAAACCCGATAAAGGTTGCCTACGTATCATGCTGGAACAAGAATCAGATCAAACGTAGTTCTGGAAGATCGGGAATAGACTAAATTATCTAACTTTATTTTTCTTTTTTTCCTTTTTCTTTTCTTCTCATGCAAAATTTAGACTATCAGAATATCTAAGCTTCCCACAACATTTACCATTGCATTTGTATCTACGGCCTGACACTCATGCGTTGGATGACTCATTCCATAGAGATCACAAACTGGTAATGGTTGACTTTGGACCTTAGCTAAGGTCAGCTTTCTTATCTCTTTATCCATGGTGTCTAGTTGGGCTTGAACTGATGTATTGGAATCTATTTGATGAACCCCGACTGATTTTCTTCTATCATTGCTCTCAGAAGGCCACAGGTTAGCATCTTCAGAGAGCTCATCAAGTATTGTCACAATCACCTTAGGTCTTCTTTATTAAAGGACCTCCAACTTCAGTGTTCAGAGTTCATTATGAGGGAGGTGTCAGTCCATCCCAAAATTCTTGGAGTTGCTTCTACAATTCAATCTCATTATGCTGACACTTCCTCATTATCTCCTTGAATCATTCCCAAGCCTCAAACTGTTTCGGTGTCCGTCTGGCAAAAGTTGTAAATTTCCCTTCTGAACTTCACTATTTTTGTAGATGAGAAGTATTTGTCAAGACACTTTCTAGTCATATCTTCCCATGTCCTGATCGACCCCGTTGGTAAGCTATGAAGCCAGTGCTTCGCGTCATCCTTCAATGAAATGTGAAATGCCCTTAAGTAGACTGTATCCTTTGATACTCTATTATATTGGAAAGTGTTCATGATTTTTTCAAAGTCCAATGCAGTTATTTTGGATAGTTTGAAGCAAGCATGCTTCAACTCAAAGTTATTCGCTGCTACTGGCGAAGGTCTGACACTGATAGTCCCTCCTTATAGATTGGTTTGGCGTAATCACCCAATGCTCTACCAGGCCTGGGTACCGCATTCTCGAACTGATCTTCAATAAATGGTCGATTCAAATTGAATCTTCGACCCCCATCATCATTGACGGTCTCATCAGCAGCTATATAGGTTGCCTCAGCTGCTATCCTTGCAGCTACTTCTCTCTGTTGTGCGTCTTCTCTTGCAGCTAGATTTGCCTCATCTTCACCGTTATTAGCCATGTGTTCTTGGGTTGAAGGTTGCCCTAAGAACTTTCCGGTGAGTTATTTCTCTTTCCTCAACTTTCGCAGACTCTTTTCTACCTCTATGTTGTGAATCAATTCCTTTGTAGAAGATCGAGTCACACACCCGAGAAGTCAATTTGTTGCCTATACATGGGAGAAGAAACCCGTGAAGAATAAAAAGAAAAATAAAATAAAATAAAGTAAATTCCTAAATTAGCATCAAAAACTATTTTGAACACTATTGATCGCCAATCCCCGGAAACGGTGCCAAAATTTGACAAGCGCAAAACACACACTTAAATTATGCTCGCTAATCAAAGATAGTATAGTATAATATTGTATCCACATGGATTGGATTTAAACAATATTCTCGTAGTTTCTAGCTTGATTGTTATCCAGTGGATCAACAGTTGAGATTTATATGATTAATAATTAAAATTAACTAAGAATCTAAAGCTATTGACTAGTGACTATCGAGACAAGGAATAAGCAAATAAGGTTATCAGTGGGAGAAGGTAGAGTTTTGATAGGATAGGTGCAAGATAATTGTTCGGGATTTAACTCTCGATAATTCACTTCTAATGTTCAAGTGAGTCTCTCAAGTTCACTCAATTATTGGTTCAAACGTTTAGCAGAAACTCTTCTCTCGATTAAGCCTTAACCTCACGAGACGAACCAAATTAAGCATTGTGAAGACATACAAGAATGCGTAGTGAATTGGTCTTTAGGAAAACCTCTTTCGATTATTCTCCTAACTAGGTTTAATTAATGATTCAACTAGCCTCTTTTGATTACTTAGAAGAATCTATAAACTCAACCAACAACATAATGCAAAGATATTACAAGTTATGCCTCTCTCGATTACATAAACTAGTGAATATAGATGCAACAATTAAATCATCCAAAACGATTCAATACATAAAACTAGAGTTATAATCCACAAACAATCATCAATACACTAAATCCATCAAACCCTAAGGGAACTACTTCATAGACATGGAGAAATTCATCACAAATATAATTAAAGTATAATAAAACATAGATTCGATCCAAACTCGGGTCTTGAGTTAGGAAGGAATGATGATATCTTTGTGCTTGTATTCTTCCAATTCCTCCTTATATAGCTTCCTTAGGTCAAAAGTATGTCAAAAGTCCTCTAAAAAACGTGTTTCTAGTGTATCTATACCATGTAGGAACGGACCTAGACGAAACTACCCTCTTTGAGCCGAAGTGGGAAAACCTACAAACTTTTTACACTTCATGTGCTGCACTATGCTGCGTAGTGTGCGTAACATTAGTGCAATTTGCTCGATTGTAAACTCTCTGAACTTAGCTTGTCTGACAAAATTTTGTACTGATGCTACGCACTATGCCACGCACTAGTGTATTTTTCTGTCAGACCCAAAAACTCCAAGTCTTCTCAAACTTCTGACGAAATTTTGTAATGCGACGCTTAATGCTAGCCCTTATGCGGCGCACTAGTACTTTGTTTGCTCTAGCCCTTGCTCTTTCTTCCAACTTTCATATGCAACGCTAGTCCACGAGCACCGGACGCGATCCCGATTTAATTTCTTGGCTTTTACTCAGGCTTTAAAGCTCCAATTATTTGATTTAGCTCTAGAACATCTTCTTAACTCGACATCATCTCATGCAAAGCATAAAACACACAATCAATGCAAAACACTACCAATTAAAGCTCAAACACAAGTAAAGTGCAGTGAATTAGAGTGCAATAAACGACTAAAATACGGAATTATAGCCGACCATCAGATATTTTCTAGTGGCTATACCTAAATCAAACATTGCCGATTAAGTTAATTTTTTTTTAATGAAAATTATGTTCAAAGTCGAATCTACTATCTAATTTTTAAAATATTTTTTTAATGAAACTTTATTTAACTGGCAAAATATAAGTTTCCGTAACCAATAGGTATCATGATCCGATTATTTTTTTGAAATGAGACTAATGCCTAACAAGTTCTTACATTTTGGATATCCTTGCATTAATTATTGGCATGTACTTATTGCTTGATTTACATTACAATTACTAGAATTTGTATAACTCTTTGACATTAAATTATACTTCTGTCATTTCCCCAATAAAAAAAACTCTATGATTATACCTACAGAATTCCAGATGAAAAGATGATGGCTAGATAGAATAAATAATTGAAGAGCATTAATAAAAATCCTAACATTGAGTGACCATTTAAATACAAATATTATTCAATTTATCATTTTTTAACATAATATAAATTTTAGAGCGTCTTACATAATCACTAAATATGATATTTTATTGGATATCATTATGTTGATATTTACTTAAGCTTCTTACTTGATTATATAAATATAAGGGAAATTACCAGCTATGTCCATTTATAAGTAGCTTATTATAAAAATGGGTCAATTCATTAAATATTACTAATATTAGCCAATTAACTATTTGTAGCCAAAAAAGGTTAAATTTTTGTTTTCTTTTGAATGAGTGTTATTAGAATAGATTTGGTACATCTTAAGGAGCTTGAATCTCAGTTTTCGGATGATTTGGCGGAGTTTTGAGGTGGTTTGAATTGAAAATTCGAAATAGAAGATGAAACATGAAAAAATGATATGTGTATCACATATGTATCGTATTTGTATCAAATATGTATCACATGTATATCTAATGTATACCTGAAGGGGAGCCTTGACGTAACTGGTAAAGTTGCTGCCATGTAACCAGGAGGTTCAAGCCGTAGAAACAGCCTCTTGTAGAAATGCAGGCTAAGGCTGCATACTATATACACTTGTGGTTTGGCCCTTCCTCGGATCCTGCGCATAGTGGGAGCTTAGTGTGCCAGACTGCTCTAACTCAATTTTAACTACGATGTTTGGTGCCCAATCAGTCCAAATCACCTTCAATCTTCATCAAAATTTGTATATTGACTCATCTATATGTTTTTAATGAATTTCAATCATACCCATTGAAAAATGTTCTTTTTTGCTTAGATTTTTGGAATCTTGTATATATATATATATATATATATATATTTTGTATTTCATCACCTTGTTTGCTACCTCATCCATAAAATTTTCTTTTTGTCTTACATCTAATGTTGTTGATCACGCTTAAAAATATTGAAGGAGATCTTTGAGTGTGATTCTTGGAGAGAAATAACCTTATTTATTTGGGTTTCCAATTTTTTATATGTTCTTGGATAGTTTTGGTAAATCTATGATTAGTGGCTAGAGGTTGGTAAGTTGAAACTTATTTGAGCATTTATATAAGATTCCCTTTTAATTATTTACTTGTTAATACTTGATTAATGATAAATTCCCTATAAAAAAGGTTTCCTAATTGAGAAAGAATCTCATTGAACAGACAGCAAAGCACAGATCAACTTAGTTCTCACTTAACGGTCAAATATAAGCACAAAGAATTCAAAACGACGTCATAATTTGGCAAACTCCCTAAATCGGTACCGTAAATCAGTCGTCTCAGGGTCTCAGGGGTAATTTCGACATTAAGTAAAATCTCCTGCTAAAGATGTCCATATTATAGTTAGTATAATATAATCTCTATTTAGCTTTTAATCTTTTCCTTTTCACGCAATTATTATAAATCTTCAAACACAATCATAGATCTTGATTCTTCATACGTAAAACCCTAAAATTTTCCCCATTTGATCGACTCTTCCAATTGATTTCGACAAGGTAAATTGTTCATTTCACTTGCATCGAATTCTGCATTTATCTCTTCAATATTGACCTCGATTGACTTATTCCCGCTCGTAAATCATCACCTTATTAAATTCACAAATTAATTTCATTAGTAATCTTTGTTAATTATTATACGAATAGCTAAACTAATGTATAGATGTTGAAAATATTATTGTTATTGTTGTACCGTTAATCATGAATACTTGACGCTATTGAGTAAAAAGTTCATTGATGAGTTCGTCAAAGTTCTGTGTATTAAGCTATTGAGTATAAACTCGAGTTTGTAATCTAGTAAAAATTTAATCATGGTTTTGTTTATTTGATTTTTACCTGAAAAGCTTTCTAAGCTGTTAATTTGTGTGGGAAAAACAGGTACAAGTATTGAGGTTTGATGAAGTGATGGTGACCTGGAATAGTCTTTCCTGCATTGATTGTTGGCTTTTCAAGTCTTGATCGTGTTTTTTTCGATACGTTGGGGGAAGCATGAACATTGTAAAGGGTGTCGCGGGCCTTATCCGAAGGAGTTCGGGTAGCCATGGTGGAGATTCGAGTTCTGGTTCACCACTCGAGAGGTTCTCCCCACCTACTCCACTCATCCACTTCAGGTAACCCTTGTCTGTGGTAGCTATTATCTGTATAGTGTTTTTTGTTTTGTTTTGGCATTTAGAGTAAACCAATTACTCTAGGTGCAACTTCTTCCTACAAAATGTTTGAATTAAAAAAAAAAATCAAATCTTGAGGCCTTCCTGTTAGAAATTCGGGAGAGAAGGAATACTCTCAATAAATCAGTGTCTTTTGAAGACATATGCAGAAAAGCATACCTCTTCCTTCTTCCAACTTGGCTTACATAAATAGATAAGTATTTTGTAGGAATTCTTCTAGTATGTACCTAGTCTAGTACATGATCATGATTTAGTTCTAAACGTTTATTTTTTTGTAGTAGATGACTTAAACCATACATGTATTCTTAAATTAATTTCCTTAAGGCACATGCTAAGTAAATTCATGTACTTAGATGAATCTAATTTATCTTTTCACTGTAAACAAGAATTCCACTGTACTTTTTAGTTGGAAACACGCTCAATTGTAAAGATGACACACTCGTCGTGCCAGGTCAAACTCAGGTGTCTAAGAGGCACACATGTATCAAGTAGAGATCTCTATGTGATCACTTGTAAAAGTGAAGTGCCTGTCCGAGAGTTGATGTCAAGTTTGAGCGACTATCTATGTATTTCGCCAATACATAAATGGTGCATTCTATTCGACTCTCAATATCCAAAACCAAGCTAATAGAACTGGACAAGTTTTTGAAGCCGAACACCACAAGTTGATTGTGGATTTGGTTATGGTAAAGTTTATGAAACCAAATAGTACCCCATAACAGCTTGTTTTAAAATATCATATGAAAGTACAAAGAGTTTTTAACCAATATCATCCTTAATGTTTCACCTAGACTTTAAGAACATCCTTATAATATCTCACTTAACAAGGGACATCCCTTAAGACTGTCAAAGTTGACCAAAAAGTCCCTCTGTTAAGTTTTCCGCTAGAGGTACTAATGTTTTTCGGGTTTCTCATGTGACTTGGTTCCTCTTTGTCTTTCATCAAAGAACGAACCAAGAACCAGGTTGGAACATAACGTTTCAGCCTTCTTCACCAAATAAAGCTCACAACTTATACACCAAAAACCTATGGCTTCTCTTTTCTTGCTCATTTATGTCTTTCTGAAGCTTAGTTTTTTAACTTCATGAACTCGACTTGGTTACTGAAACTGTTACTATTTCTTCAACATTTGTTTGGTCATCCTCTCATATGCACCATCCTCTTAGCCAATGAGTAGCCTAGGATTATCGTTGGTTTCTTGGGTTATAATACTTACCTCATATAGTGGATTTCAGCATCTTCTTGGATCCCAAGGGCGCTTAGAAGGTTGCTTCTTTGCGTGGTTAGACACCAGGAAAATGATACTGACAGCTGAAAATTTTATGAAGAGGAGGATCATTTAGGTAAGCAGGTGCTATTGTAGATGCTCGAGAGAAGATGTGAAATTGCCTCTCGTCGCACAATCAAATAGCAGCGCATCTGTGGTGGGTGGCTTTGAATTTTCGAAGTGTCGAACACAATAAAGGAGATTCTGTTTATTTGGGATTTCAGAAGAAGGAAGAGAAGACCCTCGACATCGGAAGTTGGTCCCTGTCTCTTATGTGGATTATATGAAAGGAGAGAAATAGAGAGTGTCTGAGAGCTGGTGTGAATAACTTTGTACAATCGAGGAATATCCTGTTGTCCATAGTTTCTTTTTTGGTTCAGCCAGGATGTCCCTCTTTGTTTAGGTGATTCAGTGACTTCTGTAGAGATCAAGGTTCTCTACTTATTGGTATACTTCTAGTATATGGGGATTTCCACAACATCAATTACATTATTTACCTTATTAAAGGATATTTACCTCATCTGACTTCTTTTTATCGTGAACTTCTTCGGTTCTACTTCTTCCGCACATGACCTTTGGATTAACATGAACTAGGTCTTGTAATTGTGTGGACTTATGACAGACTTGGTGTATGCGTCTTGATAACCAAAGACAACCCTACTGATGGGCAATGATGGCTGGAGTAGCTCGGGGTCTATTTTGAATAGCTCATATTTCTTAAAGCTTGACATAAGTTTATTCTTAACATTAGTCACTTCTAGAGACAATTGATTTGACATGTAAAACCTGTAACATGACACAAGCATGACCTATTGCCATCATAACCCTTTTATTCCCTTTCTCATGAATTTCAAGCCTATGAATATGTAAGTAGATATTAAGTGATTCTCTTGTCAGCTTATATTTTCTAGGCCATGGTCAGATATGACATTTTTTGCTTTTCAGTGAGGTCGGGGATGAGGCAATTTTGAATACACTCTGGTCAAGATACGAGAATGCCCCTGATAAGGTATGTTGTAATGATCCCAAAAATTCTCTGTGGATGCCATTTTCTTTCATGTGAAGGCAGTTTCTTTCATTTTCTTTCACGGGTTCGAGCCATGGAAATAGCCTCTTGCAAAAATGCAGGGTAAGACTTCATGCAATAGACCCTTGTGGTCCGGCCCTTCCCCGAACCCCGCGCATAGCGGGAGCTTAGTGCATCGGGCTGCCCTTTGTTCCTAAGGCAGTTATAAATTTATAATTGTGAAACAGTGAACTTCACTTGTTGATACGTTGCAACTTGTAGTTTGTGTCCACATTCTTGCTAAGATGGTTTTGGATGTGGAATTTGTTGTTTTTCAAGGCTAGTTTATGTGATGGAGGATTAGGTCAGGATAACAGGGAACAAGGTAAAAAGTATTATAGTTCAGTTTGAATGGTTATTTGACTGATGATGCCAGGAAATGATGCTTTTGCTTTGATTTTTATGTTCTCCTTTCGCTAGTTAGGTCAATTATATTGATTTCATTGTTGGTAATACGTCTTTCTAGTGGCTTGTTAGTTATTAGTTAAGCAACAAGGAAAGAAGGATCACTGTGTTTAGGTTCTTTAAAGATGATTCGGTTATAACTTCTCTTTGTCTCTGTTTGAGACAGCAGTATGTGATTTTCCAGCTTTATTCTCATTGTTACAGCCTTTTGCACCAACTTTTGTTTTGAAATTACTAATGGTGCAAATCTTTAAGATTTACCTTTGTACTGCACAACTTATTTTTCAGCTTCCAAAACAAGCTCCTCAATCAGTTCATGGGGCTGGCAGAATCCGATGCATTTCTTCTATGCTTGTTTTGTCCATGATCAATGTCTGTTGTGGATATGCTCACTTATAATCATAGGGTTCTATGTGCTTTATTCATCTCTTTAGAATACAAATAAACGCCTTCCATAAACGCCTTTGAAGTGCGTTGCTCAATACTGGTGAAAAGATAACCATGCAATTTAATTTTTCTCTCTTTCTTGAATATAGATAGAAGATTATTGGTTCATTGGTGACTTAAAGTTAAATCTCTGATCATCTGCTGTGTACTCTTTGATATTTAAGTTTTGGCCATTATCTCAAAGTGCAGTGCTAATTGAGCTAAACTTTCTTATATGGATTCAGAGTTTTGCCTTCCATTTTCCTAATTTCTTTAGAATTGACTCTTTTAGATTGCATAAAATCCTTGATAACTAAGCCAAAATGGTAGTGCTGCATTGGCCTGATAATGGTGTGACATAATGGCCGAGTCTAAATAGAAAGCTTTCTATCTCGTAGTGATGTGGCATGGATGATATGTTGTTTTATGTACGTTTTGGGCTTGAGGTTCTGGCTTAACTTTCTAGAATTTATGTGGTGGGAATATGCTCATATCAAGGGTCACTGCTGGCTTTTGGTACATGCAGTTTGATATAAGTTGATTTTTGTTTCTCAATACCTTGTTTTCCTATGAGAATGTTATGATGTGGATCAGCTTTAGCCTTTAGGTAGCTGGGTGGGAAGAGTACTTGCATTCTCTCTAATTCTTTGCCAACTTTCTCTGTTTAAGCATCATAATCTTTTGTGCGTTGTGTTTTTTTTTTTTTCAGGTTGAAAAGAGAAGGTTATTTCATATCTTTTTGAAGCAATTCCTAATTGTGTATCGTGATTGGGAACCAATTAACCCTCTTCAATCTCCCGAGGATCCTGCCTTTGTGCAGCCCGTGGATTCACAGCATTTTGGAGATGTTGTGGTTGGCTGCTCATTTGGTCATCCTACTGAAATTATAGCCCTCCTCGTTGAGGAAGTTGCACAAATGATAGCACTTGTTAATGAACGTAAGTTGGTTCTTCACCCTTTGGCATGGTTAAAAAGAAAGTTGGGTTGGTGAAGAGTGCATTTTTCTAAATCTAACTTTATTGAGAATTGCTTTGCTTTTTGTTTTGGGTAGAGGTAAGGTCTGCGTACGTGCTACCCTCCCAGACCCCAATTGTGGGATTCAATTGGGTTGTTGTTGCTTTGCTTTTTGTTTTGATTGATCAAGTAATAAGATTTTATTGAGAATGGGCGAAAAACACCCGTATACGAGAAGTATACCAAAAAGTAATAAACCTTACAAAAAGATATGATTTTCTATAAACGACACCCAATCTTCTATGCCTATGGGGATCTCGTGGGTGCACCAAAAGGAAATAAGGAATAAGAGGCTATTCCTCAAGTGTACAAAATCCTTCTCAATTCCATCAAAAGCTCTTCTACAACTCTTTTCATACGGTCCACATTGTTCTATTCCTAAAGTTCTCTTGTTTGCTAATTTGTATCGTGATTGCGGTATAAGAAAGATTCTGATAAAAGTGCAGGTACATGTTTCCGACATTAGATATTTTAATACAACATCATGAAGTATACGTTTGTTTCTACTGATTCAGTAATGCCATAATAATGTGATGAATTGCAGACCTATCAAGAAATTCATCTACAATAACATCTGAAGGGCTGCCTGTCTTGGATGCTTTGACTGTTATTACTCGGTCATTGCACAATTGCAGAGTTCTTGGCTACTATGGTGGTATTCAGAAGCTTACAGCATTAATGAAGGGTATATTTCCATCAAGCAATGCTGAACTCATTCTTTCATGTGTTTTGGGTGATTTACTTCTAAGCCTGCCTCTATATGTGCAAATTTATCTGTTTGTTGCATTCTGTCTGTACAGATTGGTGAAACATATTGGTCTTTCTTATGCTGATGTCATGTCTTTTATGCTCTGTCTTTCAATTTGAATATTCTTCCTCCATTAATTGGAAATATAGTTTACTTCTTGCTATTAACATTTCTTTAGTACCTAGTCAATCTTTTTTCGCTCAGACTGTTTTATGGGAATTGGGGAAAAAGTCCACGAAGAGCATAAAGTGGCTATGTTGTTGACTTGTTAGTGATATTCCTGTTAGTGTCTGGTGTTCCGTAACTGTTCTTCCATTAAATGGTAATAAAGCTCACTTGGCTAGTAGTTTTTCTGGCTCAGACTGTAGTCTGTGGGGATTTTGATATGCAAAAGGAATAGAGTGGAAGAGAATAGAGCACAAGTATGAAGGAAGCTTGGCATGATTTGAATAGAAAAAAAAGAAAAAAAAAGAAACAAAGAAATAGACTATCAGGGGCTTCAAGTATAAGAGATAGGATAATTGATGCTTCTGGGAGAGATTGGGACCTCTATGTTTTGTTTTCACTGTCGTAGGTGCATTTAGTAAGATATTTTGAGGGGAACGCTTTGTTCCAAGATCCTAATGTGATGGAAGGGTTTGTTCGTTTGTTGTTTCCATTTTATTATGTCTTGAGCATGATTGTCCTCTGTCCTTTGCATGCTTTAAGATCTTACATTGCTATAGAAGACGTGCAGGCATCTTTTGAAGCAGGAAACTTGAATGAATTTGATACCTTCTTAATATACCGTATTTCATATTCTGCACCATCCTATTATATTTTCTTAGTCAGTTTTAGGATCACTCTTGAGACTAGTTACCACTTAGTTGCTCCGTCCTGAAATACATTTGACTTTTATACTTGCACTGTGTCTTTATCCTGTTAGATGTTCCCTGCCCGAATATATAGTTATCTAGCACATTTAATAATGGGGTTTATTTATTTCAGCTGCTGTTGTTCAACTGAAGGCTATTGCTAGTGCTCTTTCGGCCGACGAAGCTTTGTCAAACCCTGTTGCAGAGAAGACAACAGTTCTCCAAAACATTCTTTTATATGTGGTGTTTGTAATTGGTGGCTTTATTAACTTGCATTTCAGCAAATCCGAAAAGGCTTGGTTGAATTGTGGTTACATGGAGATTTTTGGGCCTAGAAGTGTTGGAATACGAGATGTCGTTACTGGTTTAGATGTGTCTGATTCTGAAACAATGATAATGTGGCGTCAAAAGGCAATTGTCTCTGTAATGGAAGCTGGTGGTCTTAACTGGTTAGTAGGTAAGGTAGGCAGTCCCAATTTTCTTTTCTAGCACTGAACCTCTTTAAATGTGCAGTAATTTTGATAAGGTGGATATAATGGTCGTAGATTCTTTCAGAATCACATTTTCCATAGCACACTGTATGATGAGGGCACTAAAAGAATTGTTATTTAACATGTGTCTTGACATTTCTTTTGTTTATTCTGACCTTAAGTAACTCGATTAACTAGATATACCAAAATGAAGCAATACTTTAATTTAACCTGGTAGAAATGCAGCCAGATGAAAAATTGTAGTATTGCCTGATAAAAATTTCTCACACATAGTACTTGCTAGCTTTCTGGCTTCTAGTTTCTACCTCTCCGCTACAAACAACAACAACAACAACATACCCAGTGTAGTCCCACAAGTAGCGTGTGGGGAGGGTAGTGTGTATGCAGCCTACCTTGTGAAGGTAGAGAGGCTGTTTCTGATAAACCCTCGGCTCAAGAAAAGCATAGTCACAGCAGTTTAGAAAATGAATTATCAAAATCATCTGTTTCACATAATCATCTGTATTTCCATGGATTGTCAAAATCTTCTATTTCAAATCAGTTTTCACTTAGCACCAGGTACGGACGATAGTTGATGTTAAAGCCTCTTATTTGGACAATTTCTTACCAAATTTGGATGTGCTAAAAGTACCAACTATTTAGTGATAGAGAATGAAAGTTGGAAATATTTATGTCAAACTTCCATGATTCCTTGTCCGACTGTTGAAATCTATGTAGAACTGCTCTGTTTGGTGGATCAGAGCTCAGCTGTTATCCACATATTAGCATGGCTATTCCCCTAACACTCTAGCCAATTTTGGCCTGGGCTGTTAAGGATTAGAAAAACTCACTTTTTACTTATTCTTTACGCAGAGGCGTTAAGTGAAGGGTATTCATCCTTGTTCCCTAAGGGGCCATCTGACTGGTGACTTCACCTTTTTCCTTGTATTGTAAACTAGTTGAGAACCAATATACTTATACTTGGTAAGGTGATGCATGATATATAATTTAATAAGTGTATAATTTATTAGACAAGAGCATCCAATGGGGATGCAACCTGTCATCTTCTCTGAGGCAAAAGACAGTGGATACAATAAGGAGCTAAGATTGATCCTTATCTAAGATTACATCATAGTAATCAAACTAACTATATGTAGTATCAGTACGTTGGCTAAAAGTGTATAAACTTTTCTAAGTAAAATTCCCCTCAGCAGAACCGAATAGCTTTGAAATGTGTATTTCACGCCCCTCCCCGTGGCACAAAAATATTAAGATGACTTGTGTTCCTGTATGGTTGCACCTTCTGCATGTTCTTTCATTTACTATGGTTATTTCACACCGTTTTTTTTTCCAGAGCTGTTGCGTGTCATGAAGAGGTTGAATATGAAGGAACAGGATACTGATATTTCGCTTCATTATCTAACTCTTAGAGCTCTTCAATTAGCACTAATTGATAACCCTCGTGGTCAAAATCATTTTCGAAGTATTGGAGGACTGGAAGTTCTGTTGGATGGACTGGGAGTTGCATCTAACAGTGCTTTGAGATCGAAAGATTTCTCAACTTCAGATACAGCAAGGTAACTGATTTAACTGCACGCCTTTGATATAATTTAATCTTTGTTCTCTCAAGCCATACAAATGTATCAGAGAAGTCCCTGGAGGGTGGTTGGGTATATTGAAGTCTGTTGGTATAACAGGTTTGATCCTGCTATTATGTGTGGCAGCAGATTAATGCTTTTTTACTCTGGACCAGATCTTTTAAATCTTGTTTGGATAAAACTGAGTGTCATGTCGCACCCAAGGGTGCAACCTAGTGGCCAATGAAGTGGGTTGAGAACCATGAGGCCTCAGGTTCAAATCCCCAGCGGAAGCAATAACACTAGGTGATTTCTTCCCACAATTATCACAAAAAAAGAAACTGAGTGTCATGTCCATTTGTTCTCACAATCCTGTACTGCTAAAAGTTATATCTAAGATTGGGCGTCATTTGTAGAGAATCATGTTCTGATGTAAATTCTCTGCTTTTTGGTATACTTCTTGTATACGGGAGTTTTCTCCCTTTTGATTAATATAATTTACCTTATCAAAAAAAAAGTTATATCTAAGATTGGGCGTCATTTGTAGAGAATCATGTTCTGATGTAAATTCTCTGCTTTTTGGTATACTTCTTGTATACGGGAGTTTTCTCCCTTTTGATTAATATAATTTACCTTATCAAAAAAAAAGTTATATCTAAACGGAACATACCTTTATCTAATCTTTTTTTTAAAATAGCATAAAGGCAAATCAAATTTAGCTCAAACTACATTCTGTTTCAATCGAAGTAAATATTGATCTAATCTAATCTAATCTATTATATTTTTAATGACATTTGGCAAGTTAAGATCTAAATTCTAATAAGCCATGGTTGACGTATGGGGAACTAAGATGTGAAACTAGTTTTAACTTTTTGTACTAGTTAACCTAGGTGATTATATGTTCTTCTAATGTCACGAAGAGAAGTTGTGACAAGTTGATATATAGTGGATAGTTTCCCTTGCTATTTGCTCATTTGTTATGTGGAAGGATAAGTGGAGGTTTAGGTTTGACATATGTGTCAAACGGGGTGAACTTTAGATTTTGCAAATCATTTACAAGTGTCAAGTGCCTTAAAATTTAATTTGAATTTTATAGTCTCAACCTCTTTAGTTTCATATATGTAGAATTTGAGTTCCGACTTATATCTGATCCTAAAATCAGCAAATTTAGTAATGCCTAGCTGCAATCTAATATTTTGTATTTCCTTTTCTTTCTGTTGTTTAAAGTTAGTTTCTGTAAATAGGTGTTTGTGCTTCCCTGCCACTGCTAGGATCATATTTGTGCTAATATTATGTGTGTGGTATAGGCTCTAGCCTTGTTTTGTTTGATGAACATAAATTGAAATGGTTCGGAAACTTCCGTCAAGCAACTGAAAAAAGTTTATAACCATGTTCTGATACTTAATCCATTAAAAAGGAAATATCACTTAATTTCTTTTCTAAGGTATTGTTACATTTACATCTCTCCTTGCAGGAATGCCAATGTTTTAACGTGTATGTTCCAGCTCCATGTTCTTTCATTGGAGGTTCTTAGAGAGGCGGTGTATCCTTTCTATCACTACTTACATGTTCCCACTAGTTTCATCCTTGTAAACTTGATTGCTTATTTAGATATGATGGGTTCATTTTGAACAGTTATATATTTTAGTCCCCTTTTGGTTAAACTACTGACAGTTGAGCACAAGAATGTTGACCTATCATACTGCTCTATCTTGGGGAATAATTTTTCTTCCAAATGATTGTTCATCTCCTTAACCTGGTCTCAGCTTTGGGAATTTGAATAATTTGCAATTTTTATCAGAAAATGGACGAGTGCAGAAGTTTGCAAATAGCTTTTGTTCACTTGCATTCATGCTTCAAGAATACGAGGAGAAAACTGACAACTTGTTAGCCCAGGATGACATGGAAATAACTGTTTCTAGTGATAAAGATACAACTGGGAGTGAAGTTCTAGAAACAAAACTTTCTAGCAAACCTAGTACACCTTATTTAAAGAATTGGCACGACTATGTTACCAAGCTTAGTGCTGTCCTTTTCTCTTTCCTTCTTTCACCTGAAGAGGCAGAGGCAGATAAAAGCCAAGCATCCACTGGCAGAAATAGCTTACCAATCTCTTCAGCATATGGAGAACTTTCTGTAAAGTGGATTATTAGGGTTCTCCTTACAGTCTTTCCATGCATAAAAGCATGCTCAAATCAGAAGGAGCTTCCTGGTCACTTAAGGCAAGTATTTAAATCTTTCTGATCTTTTTATTTCCATTTCTTCCGTCGATCTTGTTTGTGCATTTGTGGAGATATATTTGGGTGCTGTATTTGATCTGTGGAATTACTGAGGTGCCTATCATTTTAGCTGTTGTTCCCTTGCTCTCATTATTTTCTATCCGCCTCTTGTTTCTGATCTGTTCTCATTTCTACAGGACGTTTATCTATACACTTCAGCATCATGTTCTGTTTGCGTTCAGGAAAATTCTGGTGTTGTTGCCATCACTGCTACATGTATTCCGGGCAGAAGGAGCTTGGGACTTTATCTTCTCGGAGATTTTTTTTTATTTTGGCCTAGCATCACTAGGTTCCTCTGATGATTCCTTATCAAAAAAAGGTTCTTCTGATGATTGCAATGAGCAATGTTGTGATTCAAATGGCAGAAGCACTAGTCTAAGCCTTCATGAACTTGAAGCTCTTCAAACAGAAGTGGTTTCATTTGTGGAGTTTGCAGCAACTTTCACTGGAAGCTCTCATAACTTGGTTAGTCATTCGATCTTTCACTCTTTCAGATATATTTATTAATACAGTTGCTTTGTGTTCTGGACTTCTTTTTGTCACAGTGGTAGGTGTCTTTTGTCTATCTATTATTTTTGCTTAGCTCTTCTCCATTCTATAGAGCGGTGGTTAGACTGGCCATGTTGTATGGGGCTGAGTGTTGGCCACTCAAGAAGTCGCATATCCAGAGGTTGGAAGTAGCAGAAATGAGGATGTTGAGATGGATGTGTGGGCACACTAGGCTGGATAGGGTTAGGAATGAGGTTATTCTGGAGAAGGTGCGTGTGGCTCCCTTGGACGACAAGATGAGGGAAGCGAGACTCAGATGGTTTGGGCACGTGCAGAGAAGTCTAGATGCCCTGGTTAGGAGGTGTGAGCGGTTGGCTTTGGCAGGCGTAAGAAGAGGTAGAGAGTAGCCTAAGAAGTATTGGGGTGAGGTGATCAGGCAGGACGTGACGCGATTTTAGATCTCCGAGGACATGGCTCTTGATAGGAAGGTGTGAAGGTCGAGCATTAGGGTTGAAGGGTAGGGGTAGTCGAGCATTTTTCTTCTTTATTCCGGGGATGGGGCTAGTCTGGTAGTGTTTTATCTTAGACTTCTAGTGGCGTATGTTATGTTCCCATTATTTTCCCATTTTCATAGTATAGTGTAACTAGTAGCGGTTTTTCTTATTGCCTTTCCACCTATTTTCCGTCTTTTACAATGTTGATATTATATTATCTCTCTAGTTGCTGCTGCTGGTAAGGATCTATTATTTCTGTTCGCCTTTTGAGCCGAGGGTCTCCCGGAAACAGGCTCTCTACTCCTTCGGGGTAGAGGTAAGGTCTGCGTACACTCTACCCTCTCTAGACCCCACTTGTTGGGATTTTACTGGGTTGTTGTTGTTATCTTCTCCATCCTTTTCCTGGCTAGGCCATTTGCCATTGTGATGCGTGGGGCACGTGAGTGGGTATTTTTCGGAGAATCTTTCTGGGGTTGGTCGCCTCTCTCTTGGGAACCTTGTGGTGGTGTTGGATTTTGCACAACACCAAGGAAAAAGGAGGGAACGCAAATCAGCCCTAAAAAGGTCGCCGGAATTGAAGCACGACGACTGTTTTTGGCTGGTTTTTCTTTCCCGGATGTTTTCTCACTGCCTCTCTGATTCCATGTGAGAAATGATACACTGGAAAAATTATTATTGATATATTAACAATGATACAATGAGTCCTATGTATATAATACATATTCTACTCCGACTAGGATTATTTACACTAACTATCTAACACCTCTGAAGATTATCTATGACAGAAATAATCTTACTGTAAACTTATCATCAACCAATACCCATGTCCTGTTTTACCAATTAAAAAAAACATCCATGTTCTGTTTATTGCCTTTTGCTTATCAAATAAAAGAGAAGGCCCCATTTCTAGTCTAAAGTTTAACTGGTTACGTGGTGCACTTTTGTGCATGTATAGTTATTCAGTAATTGGCATTATATGACTACATATATTTTTTCTGCTGATAGACATTATATGAATACATATCATCGAGATCATGTCAAGATTTCCTTTTTTTATCGGCATGGATCTCAACTATAGCTTGCTCTTAGTTGTGCATAAGTAGGATTTTTGGGCATAAGCATATTAGCCTTCTGCATGATGTTGCATCCACTTCTTTAGAAGATACAGAATTGTATTTGGTACTTTTCTTAGACTTGTTATCTTCCAAGTATAACATTATTCCTCCTCGGTTTTCATATTGGGTGAAATTATGCAATTCTTGAGACTGGATAAAATCGTACCTCTCTTCATGTTAAGCTACTGTCCTTGTTGGTAATTTTAGTCTTAACGAAAGTGTCAATTATGCATTGGGATCTCCTTTAGTGCCTTACCTTCCCGACTATTTACTGAGCTTCCTTCCATGCCTTTTCTTCCAGATTAACAGGTTTAGTAAATTAAAGAACATAAAATGCTTGGTTGTACTCTCTCCGGTTCAATTTATTTGACGTAGTTTGACTTGGCACGTAGTTTTAAAAAGAGACTTTTGAAACTTGTGGTCTAAAACATTCTATTACATTTCTGTGGCTATAAAAGCTTCTCATTAAGGGTCAAATGGAAATTTTAAGGTTAAATTGTTTCCAAATATAGAAATGTACCATACTTTTTGAACGAACTAATAATGAAAGTGTGTCACATAAATTGGAACGGAGGGAGTACTAGTTTTGTGCTCTTTGGTTCATAAGATGTGAGCTTATGCAATTCAGTTTTCCTTTTCTCCTGAAACTTACTTTTCTTATGCTGGCAGCCTGAGTGCTCAATTTTGCTGGAGGGTCTTGAACAATCTGCTTGTATTCCTGGGGTTGCAAATCTTTTTGCAAAGAGCCTGCTTCAAATAATGCGGTCTTCATCAGAGAAAACTCTTTCTTCTTTTAAAACACTTGATGCAGTTCCTCGTGTCCTTAAAGTTGCCTGCATTCAGGCCCAAGAGTCTAAAAGGCATGGGATTGCTGGTCCTCACACTGAAAGTGGTCAGAGTGAACCTGGTCCTTCTCTAAACCAAGACATGGTGAATTCTCTCGAGATGATCCATAGTTGGCAGAACAGCATGGAGACTTTTATTGAACTCTTCGCTGAATTTTTCTCTCTTGCAAATGATGTGAAACATTCTACCTTGCACAACGCTACCTGCGTTGATCGTTTGTTTGATTTGTTTTGGGAAGAAAAGTTGAGAAATCGCATGCTTCCTCTTATTCTTGATTTGATGAAGGTAGAATGAATAACCTTCCATGTATTTATCTTATTTATTTTCTATTATTTTTTTGGTGCTCTTACAATGACTACTACTAATCTTTACTTTTTTTTTCGTTGACCTCTTTCATGTGGATTCTTTGCTGGGGGAACAGATTGTTCCACATTCTGAGGAGGACCAGAAAGCTAAATTGTATTTATGTTCGAAGTATCTGGAAACATTTACTCATGTTAAGGACCGGGAGAACTTTGTAGAATTGTCTATCGATCTATTGGTTGGGATGATTGATTTACTTTTGACAGATATAGAGGTATACTCTGGTAATTCTATGCTTTTCTATTTTCTGTAGCTGTATGTTTTCTGCTATTCATATTCTGTTAACATGTTGACAGAGAGTGGTTTCTATGTTGTCAGTATTATCAGGCTTTATTTCGCAATGGCGAGTGTTTTATACATGTTGTATCCTTGCTGAATGGGAACCTTGATGTGTCGAAAGGTGAAGAGCTGGTTCTGAATGTCCTCCAAACACTAACCTGCTTGCTTTCAGGGAATGATGCCTCAAAGGTGGGTTTGTTTCTGCTGCTTATATTTTCTCTTTTGTGCAATTAGTTGCATTTTTTGTTTGTAAAATGGTTGCAAAATTATGGAGAACATGAAAATTGGTGTACTTTTTTTTTTTTTTGATTTGCACCGGGTGTCGGAGTCTCTAAGAGCCCCGACTAATCTCGGGGGTGCACAGGCCCTCGGCAAGGAGTTTTCCGCAAGTGCACCACGGTTAATTCAGGTTTTACCCAGTCCGATGGCCCTCAGAAATTGTTTGCACTCAGTGGGTTTCGAACTTGAGACCTTAAAAGGGAGCAAACCCCAAGGCACAAGTCAATTGCCACCAGGCCAACCCCAAAAATTGGTGTACTTTTAACTTCCTCCTAAATGAACAGGCTGCTAATTATGTACGATGCTGCATTTCTTCTGCCACTTCTTTCTTGTTTCTAGCTTTGGCCTCATTTCCATTGTAGTGCCAACTTGCAGTCTTTTATCATTCCCGTTATTGCAATTTTTTTCCAGAGAACCTTGTAAATTTTATGTGAAACAAAGAGCGTTTGTATCAGTGTTTTGTTATCTTGTGTTATTCTAAAATTTCAGATGAAGGGAGGCTAACCTTTGTCACATTATAGTAAGGGGCTATCATACATCTTTGTCTTTTCCTTATTGTAAAATTGTGACTGTGGGTGAAAGCTTCTGCTAACTGCTCTGGAAGAACCTTTCATATTCTATTCCTGGGTAGGCAGTGTAGCTTTGGCACTTCCTTCTGGTTAGAATGAACTTCTGTGCATAAATGATTAAAAAAATTTCTGGATATATGCATCAGTATTAAAATTCGCACATAATGGATAAAACAAGCAGGAAATTGTTTACTCATTGATGAGCCAAAGTTGGTTCCAGACGACTCAGACCGCCTTTTGTTTCAATTGAATATTGAGCTATATCTTCAAGGGAATTAGGATCTATGTTTTCACAAAAACTCTTGGGGAAGACAGAGAAACAGCAGTTACAAGCAACAGCAACATTACTCCCACTGAAAAGCTTAATCCTAAGGCATCCACTTTATCCTCTAAAGCCAATTCTGTGTCTAATCAAAACCAAGAAGGTCATGGGTTATCTAGAACGAAGAGTAGATTGAACCCAATCTTACTACTATATCATTCTGGTATTTCTAATAGATGCGGCCGGGTTCAGTTTCTCAGTCCATCAAACTGTTTCTTATCCCAATCATGTCTCTCTTCTACCATGATTTATCGTCCTGTTGAAACAGTACATGTTTTTCATTGTCTGAATTGTAGAAAATATCTTTGCTTGCAAGTTCATGATTTAGCATGAGAAGCTGGTGTTTTTTTTCGCTACTCATATTCATTATTCTTTTGGTCTCAAAGGTTGCATTTCGAGCTCTTGTGGGCACAGGTTATCAGACTTTGCGTAGCTTGCTGTTGGACTTCTGCCAATGGCAACCGAGTGAGGCGCTTTTAGATGCTCTGCTTGATATGTTGGTCGATGGGAAGTTTGATCTCAAGGCAAGCCCTGTGATAAAGGTTAGTAGTCCGAAATCTTGTATGTGCACCGACAGTAATAGCAGCCTCTTGTACTTGTTACAAAAAAACACAATAGCAGCTTTTGTTTCCTCATGGTTTTAGTATATTAATAACATGTTAAATGTGCTTCTCATGTTATCTTTTCCTTTCTGCTTTCGTATTTCAGAATGAAGATGTTATCTTGCTATATCTCAGTGTCCTGCAAAAGGTTGGTATCTGTCCCACCTTGCTTTATCGTTTTTCCTGTTATGATATTGGCTGATGTGATTTCGCTGTGACTCTTCAATTATCTCCTTTTTATTTTTGGAATTATAGTATTCTGAAAAATGATATTTCTGTTTGCTAACTGGGCAGAGCAGTGACTCATTGCGGAATCAGGGGCTTGATGTTTTTCTTCAGCTTATACGAGATTCAATGTCCAATCAAGCTTCTTGTGTCAAAGCAGGGATGCTAAACTTTCTTCTTGATTGGTTTCCCCAAGAGGGGAAGGACGCTGTAGTCTTGAAAATTGCACAATTAATTCAGGTCATTGGTGGGCATAGCATTTCTGGAAAAGATATACGCAAAATGTTCGCTCTACTCCGGAGTGAAAAAGTAGGGTCACATCAGCAGTACAGCTCATTGCTTTTGACCAACATGCTGTCAATGCTCAACGAGAAGGGACCAACTGCCTTCTTTGATCTCAATGGCATGGAATCGGTAACTGAAACAATTGTCTTTATAGCTATCTGAAATATACGTTTAAGTGAATGAATGTTGTCTCTTCTTTATTGTTTCTCTACTTTCTCTGAGTAACTTCTCATTTCAAATTATGTGATGTTTGTCCTTCCCTCATGCAGGGAATTTTGATAAAAACTCCAGTTCAGTGGCCATTGAATAAGGGGTTTTCTTTTACTTGTTGGCTAAGGGTAGAAAGCTTTCCTAGAGGTGGTGGAACAATGGGACTTTTCAGTTTTCTTACTGAAAGTGGAAGAGGATGCCTTGGTGTTCTTGGAAAAGATAAACTTATATATGAGGTGATAAAAGTTGTTATTTGCTTCAGTTTTACTTGGGGTTTGTTTACATTTCTGTGAACCTTGAGTTTGGAGTGCATTATGATATTTGAATAGGTTACACCAGCCTCTTTTGTTAAGCCATGTTTGCTTGATGTCTTTGCTATTAATAGCTCTGTTACTTTTTACAGTCAATTAATCAGAAAAGGCAATCCGTTGTGCTGCAAGTCAATCTTGTTAGAAAGAAGTGGCATTTTTTGTGTTTAACACATACAATTGGTAGGACATTTTCTGGAGGTAGCCAATTGAAGTGTTATTTGGATGGAACTCTTGTATCCTCTGAAAAATGCAGGTAT